CGTGCGCTGCTCCCGAGCTGCAGTACCGGCGCGTGATCGCCTTCACGTTCCGTTCCGGAGCTGGCGGGACGAGCGGGGACGAGCCTCGGCCTGGTCCGTACCAGCCAAGGGCGGTCGCTGCCTGCCGGGGTGCGGGGCTTGGGTGTCTCGCAGCCCCGGCGGCCATCGTCATTGCTCGGTACCAAAGTGCGCCCGGGTGGCTCGAACGCTTCAGGCCTTCGCATCTGTCCGCGTTAAAGGTTTCTGGCCGTGCCCCTGCGCCCTTCCCCGGGGAGGAGAAGCAGCACGGCGAACCTGCGGAGCAGGTTTTTTCCCCCCAGAGTAAACCCCAGGGGTTGCTGTATCGGGCTGCCTGTGCCATCAGGGTTGTGGCAGTGTCCTGGTTTCAGCAGCGAGAGAGTTAATTTTCTTCCCAGCAGCTGGTGCAGTGCTGTGGCTTGGATTGAGGATGAGAATAATGCTGATAACACACGAATATTTTAGCTGTTGCCCAGCGGTCGAGGACTTTTCAGCGTCTCCCACTGCCCTGCCAATGAGAAGGTGGGGGAGTGGGGTGCCCAAGAACCTGGGAGAGCACGGCCAGGAGAGCTGACCCAGACTGGCCAGAGGGATATTCCATACCATATGGCATCATGCTCTGTATATAACTGGGGGTGAGGAGGGGAGCAGGACAGCTTGGGGTCTTGCTGAGCATCGACGTCAGGTGGTGAGAAATTGTGCTGTTCATCACTTGTTTTGTATATTATTGTTGTTGGTTTTGTTGTTGTTATTGTTGTCTTCCTTTTCTATCCTATTAAACTGCCTTAATCTCAACCCACGAGTCTCACTTTTTTTTCATTTTCAATTCTCTCCCCCATCCCACTGGAAGGGGGGCAGTAAGCAAATGTCTGTGCGGTTGTTTTCGCTGCTGGTCGGGTTAAATCATGACAGGAAGTGACAGCAACAAGTCAACAGATTCTGGAGAGAGATTTAAAAAAAAATAAGACAACACAGATGACATCCTGAAGGCAGGAGGAAGAGACTGAAAGCTGGTTTGTGTGAGGCACAGCTATGTTTAGCAGGAAACTGTGTCTGAGCAGACCAGATGCAAGCAGCTGTTCTGCAAATGAGTGATACACTGGTGATCCTCGGGCTTTGTTGGGTCGTTTGCACCTTTCCTCACCTCTGTGCTAGCAGTAATCTGCTCTCCTAATCCTGCATGTGCACAAGGCTTCCTGTGCAGGGCTCGTCACTTAGATGAGCCACTGTATGATGTTACTTTCCACCCTCCCCTCCAGCGTGCAAAGTAATTAGACGTGAAGCAGGGAAAGCAAAGAGGTATGTTGGTATATTAGGTGTCCTCAGCAGATGACTGTAGAGCCCTGGGGGTTCCATCTCTGCTCTGTACAGGACTGTAGCTCTGTACTCCTTGCCGCTCCCGCCGGTGAGCGTCGCAATTGCACTTTGCTGCTTGCAACACGCAACACTTGGTTGACTGGATGGGCCGTTCTGCTCATGTGTCGGGCGAGCAGCTCAGTTCCTTTGGCTGCCTAATTCACCTCCTTAAAACAAACACTTCAACACTCGGTTTCTTTCATTCAGACCCCTCTAAATATCTCCTGGCCTCAAGCCATTTTCAGCTCATAACACAGTGAAATACAGGGCTGGTAGAAATCTAGCTGTCATCTTGCTTTGATATCAAAAAGCTTTTGTAACTGGAACCCAATTGTTTTGTCATCAAGACTGCAAGAAAAAAAAGAGGAAGTGGCTGCCCAAAGGAGAAAGGAATGACTTGGTGTGAAGCTCTCCAGTCCTGTTCAGTCAATGACCTCAGCAGCCTGTACACAGGGCAAAAAGAAGGAGTCACAACCCAAGGAGGAGTCGCAGGGTGTAGCGGTTTCTGGAACAACCATATTTTCCAGCCTAGCTGGACAGAGTAAGAGGCGAGAGAAAGGGGCCTGCCAGGTCCCTTGAGTGGCAGAATTGCTGTAGATTGTGCCCTGGCTGTTTCACTCTCTGTATTTGGCAGAATTACTTCCCAGAGGTTGGGAGACAGGAATGCTTGCACAGCATGAGTACTGCTGCTTACGGAGCTGTCGTGGTTTAACCCCAGCCAGCAACTACACACCACGCAGCTGCTCGCTCAGTCCCCCCGCAGTGGGATCGGGGACAGAATGAGAAGAGTAAAATTGAGAAAACTCATGGGTTGAGATAAAGACAGTTTAATAGGTAAAGCAAAAGCCACACACACAAGCAAAGCAAGACAAGGAATTCATTCACCACTTCCCCTGGGCAGGCAGGTGTTCAGCCATCTTCAGGAAAGCAGGGCTCCATCACACGTAACGGTGACTTGGGAAGACAAATGCCATCACTCCGAACACCTCCCCCTTCCTCCTCCTTCCCTCCGGCCCTTTATATACAGAGCATGATGACATATGGTATGGAATAGCTCTTTGGTCAGTTGGGGTCAGCTGTCCCAGCTGTGCGCCCTCCCAACTTTCTGTGCACCTCAGTGTGGAATAGCGGGGGGTCGAGGGAGGAGCAGGGACATGAAATAGGAGGGCAGGGGATGTGGGAGGGGTGTCACATGGGGGAAAGCTTGAGTGGGGGGGAAACTCGCGTGGGGAAAAAACCTCACGTGGGGCATGTTTCAGTAGAAAGCATTTGGGGAAGAGACACATGGAGGGGGGCCAAGGGACATATGGAGGGGGATAGGACGGGGAGACAGACACAGACAGGGAGAGACAGACATGAGGGGGGGAGATGGGGCACGTCTTGTCGGATGGACCTTCTGGGGGGTTCATCACCTCTAAAGATGCAGGAGGGAAGGCACAATCATCCCACCCTACCAAGGCTGTGCAGGGCTGGGACCCTGAGATGGGTACAGGAGTGTCCTAGAGCCGGGCTAGGGGTTGTGACTGGGCAGGTCTTTTTCTAGTGGTGGGCAGGTGCTGGGTTTCCTGCACCAACATTGGTAGCACAGACCCAGCTCGGACATCGTAGAGACCCCCTCACCCTCTCTGTCCTGCAGCTCCCACTGGATGAAACCCTGGGAAGATGGAGGGCCCAAACACACAGGAATTTCTTACCTTCACTGGAAACATATAAAACCCAAGACTGCCTCTTAGTTAGTGATGAAATGGAGCAGCAATACCTGCCACTGTAGTGGGTCTCAGGTTGGGAGATGGAATGCTACTCTGCAGAGGCATACCACAGGGTGATGCCAGCTTCATCTCTGTAATGTCACACCAAAGATGCGCTCCCCCCCATCCCCAGCACTGCATGGGCAGCAGCTCCCCCTTGCACAACATGTACAACTGGACCTGGAGGATCAGCCAGTCTGAAAGAGACCTCGAAAGCAGCAGCTGAAAAGGGCCATGAAAAGAGGGATGCATTTTGCAGAGCAGGAGAGGCAAAAAGCCCCCATAGCCCAGCTTGCAGCACCCCAAACCCAATAGCATTGCCTTTGTTAACCCCACAGGAGCTGCATTTGTCCCAGGACAGGACAAGTAGGTCCACAGCAAAGCCTAGGGGTCCTCAGAGAGGGAGACAGCAGGGCTCATCCCAGGGTCATGTCATGCACTATAGGAGACAGTCAGGGTGATGTTGTTGCTGTGTGTAGAGCCAGCGCTCTGGCACTCATTCTGCCTGTTTGTTTTTGCCTGGCATTTCTGATCCTGCAGCTGTCCATGTCTGTGGGTGCCAAGAGCTTGCCATCGTGCCAAGCCGTGGGGTGCTGCTGTAGCAAGTGGAAGCCACAGCACCTAAGGGTCACGCTGTCTCCTGGAAGTGTCATGCTCCAGGGTTGGTCTGGGGTCAGCAGGGCTGTCTCTGCAGCCGTGAAGGTCCAGGCAGGAGAGAGGAGCAGGACAGAGCAGAGATCAGTGCAACAGCACGCATTGTTGGGAGCCCCAAACCCTGAGCATGTAGGCTGGGATGGGGGAAGGCGGCACAACCCCAATGCTTGCTGGGGTTTCTAGGGCACTGGTGAGATTTTGGGGCACTGTCTAATCTTTCAGAGGGGCAGCAGGGCTGATTCCCAGGGCTGCCTAACATCTTTTGAGCCAGGTGCCATGTGGAGGGACAGCAGAGCCACACCATGCCCTGCTGCTGCTTGAGGGGACACCAGGGCCTGGTGCCTTGTTCAGCAAGAACTGCCCAGGGTCCCAAGGGCTGTCACCGTAAGTCTGCAAGCAAAGAGACTCACCAGCAAGGACAAGGGCTTGAGCTGAGAGGAAGAAAGGAAGAAGGGATGAGCACCCCTGGGATGTGCCTGCCAGGTCTCTTGCAGTGTCCCTGGCATAGAGAGGAGTGATGCTGGCCTTGGACATGAGCCACCCTGGGGGGGGGGCGGGGGAGGGTTTGGTAAGGCCTACAAGGTCCCTGAGACACCCACCAGCAACTCATCACTGCCCCAGAGCATGGCATCTCCATCCTCACCACACTCATACTTGCTGGACCTCAGTTTCCTTCCTCCCCAACAAATGAGACCACCCCAAGGGGGAAGCCCTGAGCCTATGTTATGACAGGGACAAACACTGCTCCATCCAAATCTCCTCAGCCCGGCAGGATAAACGAAAATCTCCCTTTCCCTGGGCAGAGCAAAACCCCATCCAGACATGCCCCAAGAGGTACAAGCGACAAGTGCCCAGCAGAGCTTGTGCTGGAGATGGAGCCTCTGTCCTCCAGCCCCTGAAGCTCACTGGGTCACTGGGGCTCTTTGAGGACACGTTACCTTCTGGCATGCACAGGGACTGTCCATCCCCTGGGATGGCAGCAGACTCCACCACGCTCCCCATCAGCTCCCTTTGAGCACTCACCCAGGAGGAACAGAGCTGTTCCTTGCCATGTCAGGCTAGGGTCCAGCACTTGGTGACTTTCCTGCAGAAAGCGATGGTGACATTCGTCACCCAGAGATAAAAAGAGGAAGGAAATGGCTTTTGTTATTGTTGTTATGATGATGATGCAAAGAAACAAGCCCAGTTAACCAGAAGCCTCTGTGTTGCCTTTATGACTGTGCCTGAATGCACTTTTTTTTCCTCACTCCATAGAGGATTCAGGGCTTGCTCTTGGAAATCACAGCCCCATAAAGCTTCTGCTTCATGCAACACCTTTGAGATCCCTCCTCCACTCCCTTGGAAGACTCTACTCCTCCTGGGTGGCTGTTGGCATTTGTTGTTTTTTTCCCACCCAGAGAAAAGGGGTTTTGACAGATTCTCCTCTCACTAGACTTTTTGCTATGTGTTGTTTCCCTCCTTCCCAGCGTCTTGGGAGTCTATCCACGACCTTTAGGCACCTGCCTAGCCCTCAAGCAGCAGGAGTCTCGGGCTCTTCTGGGGTCATATTTGTGATTTCTTTGGAGCTTTCCCCTCATTCCCAGAAAATTTTTCCCCATGCTGGAGAACAGGCACCAATGGGAAAGAAACAGGCTTGTTTCTGTTGCTTGCCCCTGACATGGATCAGGCTGGATGGGTTGTGAAAGGCACAGGACTAGTTATGGGACCCTGTGCACCATGCAACTTCTTGTAGAAACGACGTTTCATCAGAGCTGCCCTGAAACACGTAAGAGTAAAGCACAGAGCAAGTCTGCCCCACGGTCTTTGCCTGTGTCCGATTTATCATTTGAGCATGTCCCATTGGCTTTGGGACAGACTCAAAACACAAACAAAAGCACCAATGTAACCCCTGAACTTGAAGCTCATCTTCACTAAAGAAGCCAAGTCCTTGAATTTATCAACTTTCCAAGAATCAAGGTGTGCTGCAGAGAGCTCTTCCACACCTCCAAGAGCCTTGCAGGAAGGCACACAGTGCCATCACAGAAGGACCAAAAAAAAAAAAAAAAAAGCTTATTCTAATTTTTGACACAGGCTGACTTCCCATGAGGAATTTGTAAGCTTGGAAGGAAGGAAAAGATCATGTGTGTGTTCCAGTACAGTATGGATTGGAGGTTTTATTTCTGTTTTCTCAATCCTTTTCTGAATTTCTGGTTCTTGGGACATTGCTTTTCCTTCTGCCTTCTGGATTCTTATTCTGCTTTCAGTTCGAGGTTCAATTCTTACCTTTTGTAGCAAGAGCTTTGCCAACGGATGGAGCCCAAGGACAAGAGGCCTGCCAGGAAAGCAGCTCAAGACACCTAAGCCCAATTACCTATGAAGCCCCTTATGCAATTACAGAGGCAGCCGGCCAATGGGAAAAAAACATGATGGCGTGACATGGCAATTCGAAGATCTAAAATGGACACGTTATGGCTACAGAAACTGATGCTAAGAACACAACAAATAAACAAGGACAAGAGAGCGTAACTGCCATGACTGATGATACTCAATAAGCCTCATTGGACAGTTAAGGAAAAAAAACAAAACTGGGATAATAGAGAAGGCTTGTGTGCCCAGGGACTGCAATAAAGATCCCTGGACGTGATGGAAGGGATGGATGTGAAAATTAAGTCAGGGAATGTGGTGAATAAAAGGCACAAGGGATCAGAAACCTCAGAGTTCCAGGCAGTATATTTTAATGTACGTCTCACATACCAAGTGAGCAATGGGTGCTATTCCCTCTGTGGCATGCTTTGTATGGCCAATCCTCCTACCTCTCTGGCCCTTGGTGTCTCTGAGCCATAGTTCTAATAGTTTCCTATGCTCACACCCGAGCCATGATATGTCCCTACTAAAATAGCCCTAAACCACCCTATCTCCTCCATTACCACTTAACTCCAAACAGTCCATCATTCACATTGGCTCTACCATTGACAGAGCTCGTACCTTGGGGCCTCTTGCAGCGATGAGACCCATCTGACAGTCAGCCCCATGCACAGTGATGTAGAGGCCCAGACGGTTGACACTGCATTTCTCATAACTTCATTGTACCACATATTAGCTGCAGAGCAACTCAAACAGAACAGACCTTGTTGACAGCTGAATCCAACTGCAAAACCAACCTGAGGGCAACTGATGAACCCACCTCCCTTTCCCAACCATCCCTCGGTTCCAAAACTTTAGAAACTCCTTCTCTTCTTCTGAACTGTTGGGGAAGAGCCCCCACTCCTTCCCAACAGCTCCTTGCCCTCTATTTGCAGCCTCAATCCCCTGCATTGGCTGCTCCTCAAGAGCAGCTCCCACAGGCACCTCCTGTCCTCTGACATCCCACAGGCTCTGGGCTCTGCTGCAGGCCCACAAAGTCAGTGAATTTCAGACACTTCTAGCCTGGCAGGAGGCTGCTGCAGGCTGCAAAGGCTCTAGGGACAATGTGGTATCATGGGCGATGGGGAAAGGTGACGAGCTGTCCCATGCCCTGAGAAACTCTATGCCCAATGTGCCTGCTGCTTTCTTGAGGAATGTGAAACTCCAGATACAGAGGTATACAAGATGCTCACCCTAACCCCTGCTACATGATCTTACCATCAGTCCTGTAGAAAAAGATATGTCAACAGCTTTAACAATATCCAACAGAACCAGTGAAAAAACAAGGTTCCTTCTACAGTAAACTCAGAAACGTAAAAAAAAAATCACAATGCACCTAAAATAAAAAAACCCAAGAATGCAGAATGTTAAACCACCTTTCAACTCCTGAACACCCCATATACAATCACTGATCCAAGAACAAGCTGTGCATCACAAATGTACTTTCTCCGATAGACACTGCTCAGCCTTGACTCACCCTGAAGCTCCTATGTCAGACACCTCGGCCCCTCTGCACGTCAGAATGCAGCTACCCAAACAGCTCAGCCACCTGCAGCTGCCTGAAGGAGCAGCACACTCACCCCATGGCAGCCCAAAAGCCGACCGAGCTCACAGTGGTTCACGCCCCACAGCAGCTCACACCCCACGGCAGCTCACGCCCCAGGGCAGTTCACACCCCACGGCAGCTCACGCCCCACGGCAGCTCGCTCACAATCCCCTGGGAAAGGAGCGGGCACCCAGGCACAGCAGGGGTGGCGGCGGCAGGGTTGCTGCTCTGTGCACAGTGAGCAAAGAAATGGGCTGTTACTGGAAATTGAGATACCTGCTGTTTTGCTACAGCTTTGGCTATCACACCAGCCATGTGACCAGGCTGGTAGTTCAACTTAATTTACTGGGACAAACACAAACTTGTATTTAAATGGATAATAAGTAGCTTAAGATCATACTAGCCTATGTGGGAAAGTAGTTCTTTAAATGCAATAGCAACATTATTAGCAGAAATTATGTGCTTTATTTTCCTGTTGAAGAAACAAACACTATGTGGTTACAATGAATTTCTAGCAAGCATAGACGTATTTCCTAACTTCTACCAGGGTAGGTCTGAATGACAAAGCAGAACTAGAGCCCACATGAATCCTTTCTCAAACATACCTCCAGTTGCAAAGTGAATTATTTACTGTAAATCACCAATGACTCCGAGTCACTGAGACTCTTAACTCCCTTACCAGAAATAGACAAGGCCCAAAGGATAGAAAACACCACAAAAACCATGGAAATACAAGAAATGCATCTCGTAGGAGGACTATGAAGACAAAAGATGGCTCTCGCCTTCTCTGAAAAACCCAAGAGGAGATCTGAGCTCACAGATATCTTTGGGGTACCAGGGGCTGAACAGAAATATACTATAAGCCATAGAAATGAAAAGACTGCTCTGGAGCACAAAGATGGCTTCAGAAAAGGTTCTGACAGAACAAGAGACATCATCACAGGGATTAGAGAGGTCCCGAGGAGGCCAGAGAGACCAAACTCCTGGGGACACAATGAGGAACTCAAAAGGGAATTCAACAAAGTACAGCTGCCCTCAGGAGGCCAGGGACCAACAGAGGCATGCCGAACAGATGAGAGGACAAAAAAAGACCAACCTGTTTAACAGATATGGACTCAGGAAGGGTTCAGAGGAAAAAAGGGGCGAAAGCGCCCTCCTGAGCTGAAGTGGGGTTCTGGGGTGGTTAGGAGAGC